CAATCTCTGCATGTTGTTTCCGACAGAGCATGGTCGCCGTAAGTCTCAACAAGAATTCTGTGTGCTTCTGCTGCAGATTTTTTTTGAATAAAATAGTGCAATAAAATTCCCCGCAAATACTCTTTTTTTGGCACGAAACTAGACATGTTTAACACAATGAAAAAATAAGTTGTTTACACTTTGGTGAAATGACATATACTGAATTTCAAGGTCACTTATTGTACTTCCTTACAGATGCGTCACCATCTAAAAATAAACACACGTGGTTCTGGTAACGCCATCTGTTGGAAAACAGCGAGAACTTATTCAAGGTCCTTATATATAATTAATATATAATTATATGTACAGTACATAATTTATATATAATACTGTACAGACGATAGTAATCTCTCCGTAGCGTGGCGCTTGACAGTGCAGAAGGTAGTTCGGCTACCCGATGACGTTTTACGTAATTATGGGAGTTTTTTACGGATACCGTTGCAATTTTTTTGCTGTCTTATAGGAATCGTAATTATAGGAACCCGTTTTATAGGGGGGTCTACTGTATATATATGTATATACAGTTGACCCTCCATAACACGAGTTCCTATAGTTCGGATTCCTATATCACGGCAAAAAAATTGCAACAGTATTTGTACAAACACACTAAAAAAACTCCTATAATTCGGTAAAACGTCATAGCCGACTCGTGTTGCGACAGGATCAGTCAAATCTAGACCAATAGCAGATATTGTACAAACCGTTGAGCTTAAACAAACAGCGGACCTACTAGAAACCATTTATTATTTAACGTCCATAAAAGTTATATTTATATTAACGATGTCTCCAAAGTTCAGCAAATTTTTTGCAAAAAAAAAAATTTATCGGGAAGAACGCAAGCGCCATTTGATGACAAGCTCCACGACGAAAACAAGCTTAAGCAATGGCGTAGTGGAACGGTGCACGCTCGGTAAGTAATCCTACAATTTTTTGTTTATAGCATAGTTTATACGGATTATTTCCAAAAAATTATATGTATTTTGGAGATGTTGAGTCAAATTAGTCTAGAATCAATTAATTTTATGGAGGTAACCTTTCAAACAGCCGTAGTCTGTAAACTGCTTACATGCTGGGCTGTGATTGGCTGGACTCGTAGAAAATGGATTCATAAAAACCGGAACGTATCTACCGTGTTGAAGGGGGGGTCGACTGTATACAATAATATAATTTAGATAAACTTCTAAATCTATAATACTATACTGAGACAGCAAAAACTTTTTTATAGTTAAACTGGGATTCGTGAAATATAGTTTCATAACATTGAGTTTATGGAAATTAGAATTTGATTCCTGGAAAATTTATTTTACATCAATTAGATCAGAAAAGCAGGACCACTATATTCATAAATAAACTTTAATATTAGTTTATTTTTATAAACATTAAAGATTTTAATTACCAAAGAAAAGTTATACTGATTTAATTTTAAAAAATCCATACGCCTTAATTTTTGAAGCAAAGTTAATTGAAATTATATAGAATAAAACTAGAAAAATTCTATTTTAAATTTAATTTAAATAAAATTATTTCTGATTCCTTCTATTTCAGTTTCAAACACATTCTCATGTTGAACATCTGTATTGTAACAGTTTGCATCCTCTTTGCTGTATTTTTTCCAAGGGTAGGAACTATTATCAGGTAAATTTATTTTTTTAGAATAATTATTATTTTGTCAATATTTTTTACTAATAAAATATTTTTTTAAAAACTTAGATTTACAGGTGCCTTTGCTGGATTAGCTTACATATTTGCATTACCATGTTTGACATATATGAAAGCAATGAAACTCAAAAATTTACTTACTCCTGGAATAATTATCATACATTGTATCATCATCATATTAGGTGTAGGAAATTTCTTAGGGCAATTTATAGTAAAAACTTAGAATGTGAATATTGAATAATTAGACAACTGCTTCTTAAGATCATGATTTCAGTTTTACAGCTGATGGATATTCCATATTTGAAATTTAGTACAAAAGTGACACGTTTAAAATTAGATATCCATACTTTTAAGTTTTTTCCTCCTACATAAAGCTGCTACAATAGGATTATTATTTATTATTAATACTGTTATGTCTTTGTCAATTTTTTATGAATATGTATTAAGATTTTAAATTTTGAAGAAAAAAATAAATTTAAAATTTTTATATGTTTAAGTATCAGTTACTGAAAAAAACTAATTTGCTTTACATTATGAAGTAACAAGCATAACACTTTGTAGTATTAATATTTACTTAATATGGGAAGAAAGAAAGAAAAGAAGAAAAAAAAAACTGAACAGGCAATAAGGATTTCTTACTTTCCTATAGTCAAAATATTCCAATTCAGTTCATTTTTCATAGGGAATAAAATCCCATCCTCAGTTGTATTAATCAATTTTGCTTTATAACTAAAAAAAAACAGTGAATGAAGTATTCTGTCAACATTTTAATAGATTAAAAAAGTGGCAATAAGTAAATATTTTTCTAGCAGTTGGAATTTTTAAATTAATTTGTAAAATATGACCATAAATGTATTTTGTGCCAGACTATTTTCTAAAAATGAAAAAATTTGAAAACATCAAGTAATAATAAATTGTGTGCATATTTTGTGTGAAAAGTGAATCATTATGTACTGTACATAAATAATAATGTTCAAAGTGTAAAATTAGTTTGTATAGAGAACAGATCAATTACATTTAGTCATTTTATGAAAAATTATTTACAAAGTTATCACATAATTTTGAATACTTTAAATGCAAGATATATGATTTATGAATGAGTAAATATGATTATAAAGTTATATTAAGACTGGGCAAATTCAAAATGTTTTTTTTTTATGGTTTGTATTATTAATCAATATTCTATCAAGTTAAATTTGTATTAAAAACAATTATAATAATTTCAATATAAATAAATACTAAATTATAATTTCAACCCATTACTTGGNTAAACACACGTGGTTCTGGTAACGCCATCTGTTGGAAAACAGCGAGAACTTATTCAAGGTCCTTATATATAATTAATATATAATTATATGTACAGTACATAATTTATATATAATACTGTACAGACGATAGTAATCTCTCCGTAGCGTGGCGCTTGACAGTGCAGAAGGTAGTTCGGCTACCCGATGACGTTTTACGTAATTATGGGAGTTTTTTACGGATACCGTTGCAATTTTTTTGCTGTCTTATAGGAATCGTAATTATAGGAACCCGTTTTATAGGGGGGTCTACTGTATATATATGTATATACAGTTGACCCTCCATAACACGAGTTCCTATAGTTCGGATTCCTATATCACGGCAAAAAAATTGCAACAGTATTTGTACAAACACACTAAAAAAACTCCTATAATTCGGTAAAACGTCATAGCCGACTCGTGTTGCGACAGGATCAGTCAAATCTAGACCAATAGCAGATATTGTACAAACCGTTGAGCTTAAACAAACAGCGGACCTACTAGAAACCATTTATTATTTAACGTCCATAAAAGTTATATTTATATTAACGATGTCTCCAAAGTTCAGCAAATTTTTTGCAAAAAAAAAAATTTATCGGGAAGAACGCAAGCGCCATTTGATGACAAGCTCCACGACGAAAACAAGCTTAAGCAATGGTGTAGTGGAACGGTGCACGCTCGGTAAGTAATCCTACAATTTTTTGTTTATAGCATAGTTTATACGGATTATTTCCAAAAAATTATATGTATTTTGGAGATGTTGAGTCAAATTAGTCTAGAATCAATTAATTTTATGGAGGTAACCTTTCAAACAGCCGTAGTCTGTAAACTGCTTACATGCTGGGCTGTGATTGGCTGGACTCGTAGAAAATGGATTCATAAAAACCGGAACGTATCTACCGTGTTGAAGGGGGGGTCGACTGTATACAATAATATAATTTAGATAAACTTCTAAATCTATAATACTATACTGAGACAGCAAAAACTTTTTTATAGTTAAACTGGGATTCGTGAAATATAGTTTCATAACATTGAGTTTATGGAAATTAGAATTTGATTCCTGGAAAATTTATTTTACATCAATTAGATCAGAAAAGCAGGACCACTATATTCATAAATAAACTTTAATATTAGTTTATTTTTATAAACATTAAAGATTTTAATTACCAAAGAAAAGTTATACTGATTTAATTTTAAAAAATCCATACGCCTTAATTTTTGAAGCAAAGTTAATTGAAATTATATAGAATAAAACTAGAAAAATTCTATTTTAAATTTAATTTAAATAAAATTATTTCTGATTCCTTCTATTTCAGTTTCAAACACATTCTCATGTTGAACATCTGTATTGTAACAGTTTGCATCCTCTTTGCTGTATTTTTTCCAAGGGTAGGAACTATTATCAGGTAAATTTATTTTTTTAGAATAATTATTATTTTGTCAATATTTTTTACTAATAAAATATTTTTTTAAAAACTTAGATTTACAGGTGCCTTTGCTGGATTAGCTTACATATTTGCATTACCATGTTTGACATATATGAAAGCAATGAAACTCAAAAATTTACTTACTCCTGGAATAATTATCATACATTGTATCATCATCATATTAGGTGTAGGAAATTTCTTAGGGCAATTTATAGTAAAAACTTAGAATGTGAATATTGAATAATTAGACAACTGCTTCTTAAGATCATGATTTCAGTTTTACAGCTGATGGATATTCCATATTTGAAATTTAGTACAAAAGTGACACGTTTAAAATTAGATATCCATACTTTTAAGTTTTTTCCTCCTACATAAAGCTGCTACAATAGGATTATTATTTATTATTAATACTGTTATGTCTTTGTCAATTTTTTATGAATATGTATTAAGATTTTAAATTTTGAAGAAAAAAATAAATTTAAAATTTTTATATGTTTAAGTATCAGTTACTGAAAAAAACTAATTTGCTTTACATTATGAAGTAACAAGCATAACACTTTGTAGTATTAATATTTACTTAATATGGGAAGAAAGAAAGAAAAGAAGAAAAAAAAAACTGAACAGGCAATAAGGATTTCTTACTTTCCTATAGTCAAAATATTCCAATTCAGTTCATTTTTCATAGGGAATAAAATCCCATCCTCAGTTGTATTAATCAATTTTGCTTTATAACTAAAAAAAAACAGTGAATGAAGTATTCTGTCAACATTTTAATAGATTAAAAAAGTGGCAATAAGTAAATATTTTTCTAGCAGTTGGAATTTTTAAATTAATTTGTAAAATATGACCATAAATGTATTTTGTGCCAGACTATTTTCTAAAAATGAAAAAATTTGAAAACATCAAGTAATAATAAATTGTGTGCATATTTTGTGTGAAAAGTGAATCATTATGTACTGTACATAAATAATAATGTTCAAAGTGTAAAATTAGTTTGTATAGAGAACAGATCAATTACATTTAGTCATTTTATGAAAAATTATTTACAAAGTTATCACATAATTTTGAATACTTTAAATGCAAGATATATGATTTATGAATGAGTAAATATGATTATAAAGTTATATTAAGACTGGGCAAATTCAAAATGTTTTTTTTTTATGGTTTGTATTATTAATCAATATTCTATCAAGTTAAATTTGTATTAAAAACAATTATAATAATTTCAATATAAATAAATACTAAATTATAATTTCAACCCATTATTTGGCCTACGACAATTTTCAATTATCATACAATGATGTATTTTATTTATACAATTAACAGAATGCTTTCATTTTGTTAATTGTATAAATGAAATACATCATTTAGTTTGAAAACCTCAAAATATTTTGAAAGTTCTCCTTTAAATAGTGATACAGACATGCTTGATGCAAATACAATAACCTTACATTAGGTTCACATCAGTTGAAAAATCCCCTCTTAAACAAGCTTATCATGTATATCATTAAGTGCATAGAACAATGATTGTCTGTTTGTATTACTGTTAGTATTGGCACAGTACAAGAATTTGTTATGAATTTGTTTACATATGCTTACAATTAACTTTAGAAAAAATTAAAATCAATTATTTCAAAATGATTTCTAATTATCATTTTTTAAATTTAATATAATTTTGTGTAACCAATTTATGAAATTTACATAGTTCTGACAAGTATCAGCACCAATATACTCACTTAGCCTGTTTCTGTTTTGAAATAAAGATTTAACTGAAATGTTTAAATATGGATGTTATCTTTCATAAATATTAATCATAAATTAAAATTTTAAAAAAGCAGAAAATTTTATTGCATATCACATTGTGCAATTAGACGATACAATATAATCTTAAAATGGTCGATAAATATTTTGAATAAATATCACAGTTCAGAGTGCAATAATTTATATCACAGATTAGTATTTTGATGAAAAATAAATTAAATTGTCTGAATCAGACAATGTAACTACAGAAATATATGATAAATATTACATTGAATTATTTTAATTGTGTAATCTAGCTTTAAAATCAAACAACTAAATCACATTACAGAAAATGACAATTGTTCCCGTNTTGCAATAAAATCTAATATTACTCTTTCATATTGATCTGGATACAAATTAAAATGTGAAACATGAGAAGTATGATTCCACATATAAAAATCTACTTTGACTTCTTTACTCTTTCGAAACTCTATAAATTTCTGTATACTTCTGTAATCACATACATTGTCTTCTTTAGAAAAGAGGAACAACTGTGGAGAAATATTTGGCTCTTGTATCAAACCGTGCCATGGACTGAGTGCTTTTAAATGGTCTTTCCTATCAACTAAACAATTTATAAAACGATTATAAAGAAAGGCCGCATACAAATATAAAAATATTAAAACAGATCGAATATATTATCTAAAAGTTTCAATTGGAAATATGATTGATAACATTTTGAAAATATATGACAATCCAAATTCTGCTGGACTACTGTCAAAGATACAACCTCTAATCTAAAATAAATAAATTTATTTATAAGTAACAAAAACTAATTTTGAAATACTTCATTACAAGATAAATACTTACATTGTAAACTTCATCCCTTTTTAACAGTGTTTCTCTCATAAGATCATACATTAAAGCTCCTCCATTACTAAAACAATGAAAGAATAATGGTTTTTCAATCAGATCCATATCTTCTAATAGATTAACAAGTTTTATTGCATTAGATGCCAACATTTTTCTAGAATTTATTGAAATCAGCATTTCCAATGGTGCAATGTACATCAAAGTAGTACAACTGTAATAAATTAAGAAAAATATATTTTACAAACTACAAAGCAGCAGTCATGTGATTGCAAAATTACAAATCTTAAAAACTAAAAATACATCATGATTTTAACTCTATCCAGTAAGCACTGGGTTTATCTACAATGGGTGGCAAGATGATTAGGGACTGAACATATCATCCATGAAAAATTCCTGAAAAGTTGCTTGCCTGGATTTGATCCCTGGTCCCCAGAACAGTGGGGCCTAGGATCAAATCCAGGACTTTTGCATTAGTCATCTGGTCATCAATTTTTAAAATTTAAAATATGAAATTTATTTCTTTAAAAGTAATTTAGTAAATTCTGTAATTTGATGTTTATTTAAAATATAGTTTTATAATAATTTTATTGATATTTTCTAAACTGAAAGAAAAGATTATGCCACTAAATACATATAGTAAGACCTTGCTGATGTGACTAGCTCCAAAATTCCCCTGTAAAACAGCATGGGTTTCATTATAAATCAAACTCCACCTTGGTGGCCACTGGCCATCTCACTTAAATGGCCAGATAAGAGTATCCTGAAGTGATATTTATCCCATTTACATTGCCAACAAAATAAAAAAACTCAACATTTCTTAACTCAATGTATTATTTAAAGCACTTTAAATAGAATTGAGCTTTGTTGCTGTAGTTATGGAACAGTTTGCCAAGTTCCCTCTTACAGATGACATTCAAATAAAATAATATTAAATTCAATTTGGCCACTGTAAATGATCTCCAGAATTTAGTAAGAAGAATATGAATACATCAGATTTTGTATAAAATTATTGAACAATTGTATTTTATAAAAATATAACTGTAAATTAGCAATGATCTATTCAGTTGGTCTATGTCACTGTCAGGTCACTTGCAACAGTCAACAAAGAAAAATATTACCAAGCCTGTTATAAAATGATTATGTGTGTTTAATATCTCAGGATGGGATAATATTAAGAAATGAGTTTTGACATAGTAGCTTGTGTTTAAGGGATATTAGTGCAGTTAAATTTTAATGATTAAAGGTCAAGGGTGTGGGGAGATACAGGGATGTCATGTCATATCTCAAGAGCGATCAGACTTAACATTTTACTCATTAGCATTTACAATTTTTTTTATGAAACTCATCATTAAGCTACCCTGAATATTATGCTTAAATTAACTATTATAAAATGGCAAAACAGTTTATAATGATTAATAATACAAAAGTTTTATATAAGAAAATCTCATAACAGATGGCACCATATACAATTTTATTTATGATGATTAATCATATAGGAATTATTTTGTAAATAAAATCTCATAACAACCAAGAAAGCTATACAACTCATTGCTAGATTTTCAAACTCTTACAAACAGTTGAGTGAGATTAGACAAAACTGATTCATTGTAATTTTTTGAAGTATTCCAACTATCAAGATAATATATTATATAGTAAACAATTTTTCAAAAAAATTTATGTATTTTTTAAGTTTATAAATAAATTTTCAATACTATAACATTAAAACTGATAAAAGACTATTTCATTGAAACATTTATGTAAAATCATTTTCTAAAGTGAATTTAATTTTATAATTCAGTTGACATTTATTCTTACTGTAGCTATAATTCAATATTCTATTATTGAATTTGTTTGATAAAACTATTGATAAACTAACATTTTTTTTCTTACTGATCAAATAAATACATATAACAAATTTGGCATACTTGATAAGAGTTTTTTTTATATAAATTTTGAGATTAGACTACAATATTGTTTGCAAAAATAATAAATGAAATCAATTGGAAAAGAGCATTGTTCTTTAGAAAAAAATTTAAAAAATGCTTCCTAAAATTAAGAAAAAATTGTAACTATATCAAAAATTATCCTTCTGGTAATGGAAAATATCAATTAAAAAAACTATAGGTCAAATTTTTGGCATTTCATGATATAAATCTATAAAATTTTTATAGGTTAACTATATCCATAGCAAAATTTAACATAGAGAAAATAATTTTTTCTATTCACCATTTGCACTCAATTCATTATTTAAACAAAACGATAAAATATTCATGATATAAACAAACCAGTTTACATATTAAACAATGATAACTATTACACACCAGTACTCACAAATAGCCAATTATTATATTCAGGATTGATTTATCATAAAATACATAATTTTATATTCAAGTCACACATGTCAACTAGAAAGGAAACTAATTTTAGAAATTTATATCTTAAAAAAAGAAAAACTTTGGAAAAATCTCTTTAATTGACTCCATTGAGTTTTCTTCACGTTGAAATGAGTTATGCATCTTATTTGAAATAATTCAGTAATCTATGATAACTTTTAATCCTTGCTATTATTTCATTTGTATAATTTTTTATCCTACATATTCAGTATCACAAGAGATCTCAAAAGATCTCATTTCAGAATTATGTACAATTGCAGCTCTGAATTAAGTAGGTGGGTTCAATTCAAACTCCAAATGAGACAGTTGGGACCTACTCAGAGCTGTAGACCATGCTTATAGGTATAAAAAACTCAAAGAAACTGATGGTTTCTTTGACTTTTTTACACCTATAAGCATGGAAAGGAACATATGACCCTTCCTGAGATAGGCTGATTTCTGGGGAGGGAAATAGTTTATCTGGAATTTTGACAAGCCACAAAATGGGGTAAAATTTAAAAGTATTTAGATAGGATGATTTTGAAGAGGTTAAATCTCACAAAGGGTCAGATCATCAGTTCCTTTAACTTTTTTACTCCTATGAGTATGATTTACTGCTTCATTCAGATTTATAATTTTACTCTAATTTCAAACTGGTTAAATATTTTAGTTGTTTTAGCTCCCTCACACACACATTCATGTAATCATGTGGCATAGATTTAACTACTGATAAACCAGTGGTGTGCCATGACATTTGATGATAAGGAAGCTGTGTTTCTGTAAGAAGCCGATTTCCAGGGGCAATCAGTTATGGTCTAGGGCAGGGGTGGCCAACAGTTTTTGCTCCCAGGCCGAATTGGAAAGAAAACTTTTTTGATGGGCCAAACCAGAGGCTGCCCTAGTAAGGTTTTGAGGTGGTGCGAGATCTCATTGTGGTGTCACCCCATAGAGACTAAATTATAGATAGAGATTATAGATACATTTTTTCACATTATGATGCTTTATCAACATTCTATGCTGTACTTGTGAGATTTGTAGTAATGGAGGGTTAACTCTAAATGAACAGTGAGTTATTTTTCATTGAGCTACTCGGACTTCAGTAGCCAATATTGAAAAATTGATCGCGGGCCACATAAGTTCATTAGACAGGCCGTATGTTGGCCATGCCTGGTCTAGGGTCTATTCATATCATTTGTTCAATAAGCTAGAAAAAACTGCAGACTTCTCTAAATGTATTTTTAATATCACAATTACATTCCAAATTGCTAGCCACAATATAAGGGCTACAATTAAAAATAAAATAATAAAAACTTACTTGATGAAATAAAATGTGTGGTGGATGTACAATACATACCTGGTACAAAATATTCTTCAATTGTATGAATATACTTTTAAAGAAATATAATTAAATATAGCTTTGTAAAGAAATGTACATAAAAATAACATAAAATATTCTTTACTTTTTAAATTTTAAAACAATCCACTTAGTCAAATAGCTCTCTATGAGTGACTAATGGATGGAATCAGAGATGGTTGCAGTGCGTGCATACACGCAGACTGCCAAATCCCCAGGGTGCCAATACCAGTCAATGTCAAATACCTCTTTTGTCGCATCACTAATATACCTCAAAGGACGCGACAGAGTTGTTGTAGATTTTAAATGTTTCTCACCATAGCTGTAAAAATCTACATATGGTGGACCAGGTGTTCATGAAAATTTCCAAAATTTACAACTTTTTGGTCACTCTCATTGAACTGGAAAAATTTTGTCTTTATTATGTCTAATATTACGAAGAAATCAGTTCCCACTCTAGTAGAGATTGGTTTGGTTAAGCTTTTAAGTAAAATTCTGGCTCTTTCGGCAGGGTTTCATTTATGTCCCTAATTCCCTAATCTCTTAATTATTTAACTACTTAAGTAGAAATAAGTCAAAACTGGTTACTTTGTACTTGATTATCTGTAATCTTGGGAAAGAAATGGAAAGAAAATTTTTATGACAACGGATACATAAATCATAAATTTAAGGAAAATAAATTGTAGAGCTTTTTCTGTGCCTCATGCATCTCTCTCATTCATTAAATTTAGTTGTAAATGATGCTACCAAAGTAACAGTTAATTTTTTAACATTGTACAAGAATTGTACACATTTTTTTCTGCATTCCCTTATAGATGTGACATACGAAATTGTAATATCACTGGTTTAACTTTGAAATCCGTAAGTAATATAAGATGAGAGAGCGGAATAAAAATATCAAATATTTTAATGGATTTTTTTAACTCCTGTCAACTATACAGAACTATCATAAAAACATACCAGTAAATTTCTATCGGTTGGGTTAAGTTATAAAGCTACTCGTGATTCACATAATGGGGTGAGGGCAGCCAAATATCTAGAAGGCAGGCGGCTAACAGCCCAGAACCAGTCCTGGATAGAATCATTGGAAGCACTGTATGTGTAGCTTCCACTAGCTAAACCAGGTGAGGTTGATGCTCTGTAAAGTGCAAGCGTATAATCTGGCTGTTTGGAAGATGACCCGGTTTTTGACAATACAACGCTTCCATTCCGCCATTGACATTTGAATATACAATAGTGATCTTATCATTTTTTCACACGTAGTATAGGAATTTGTAATAAGATACATAATGTGGTTATAATAAAATATTAATTTTAATTAATTCAAAGTACGTTCTAATATGAAAATAATCGCGCAATATGTATTTTTTTTTTTTTTTAAATACAAGGGATACGGCACTTCCACCGCTTCCAATGACGGCTCGCCACGGTGATAAACGTATTTTCATAAATAGCATTGATGAACACAAGAATGTTACCTTATGAGAAATTATTTATTAAATTATTCCCTTATAATAAAAAATAAATTACTTCTCACCCATGTTTTCCATAAATAGTGCTGTATTTGGAAAGATGATGCTCTTTACATCCTCCCCAACCGAGCAATACGATAACCGGTTCTTCTCGAAGGATAATATCATACTTTCCTCTCAGTACTTCGTCGCTAGACAAGCAAGCATTGCTGGAAAACCGAATATCATACTCAAAATTATCCTCCATCTTTCTTTTGACATTTTATTCATTTTATAAGTGTTGCCAGATATTTTCAATCGTCAAACGTTTTTTGTAAAGGAACCAAATGTCATCAAACACTTTCGAAATGAACTAAAAATGATCGTACTGTACATATGTAATAATTTTATATCGGTAGTTTTTTTTAAACTCTTTCCGCCCTTTAATTTTACATTTGTTTAAGAAAGCCTCTTTTTGCAAGCCATTATGGGTTCTGGCCGAACCCATAATGAGGCTGCCGGGTGGTGAAGGACGGGGCCCGACATATCCGAACGGACCACCCCCCGAAAAATTCCTGAGGATTTTTCGACCCGTTCGGTTTCGAACCCGGGTCCCCCAGAGCGGTAGGCTGCCACCTTGACCGCTCGGCATCCGGCCGCCCCCAAATGTCCTTTTACAGCCGGATGACCGAGCGGTTGAGGTGGCAGCCTACCGCTTTAGGGGACCCAGGATCAAATCCGGACGGTCGAAAAATCCCGTGAATTCTTCGGGGGTTGATCCGATATGTCGGCTCTCGTCTCTCACCATCTGGCCGCCCTATTGTGGACCTAACCGAACTCATAATACGCTTGCTAAATGAGGCTCTCTTTGTGCTCACAGTGCGGAAAGAGTTTAAAAGAAAAGATCCCAAATGACCACAGTGCGAAGGGTTAAGAACTAAAAAAATAAATCTATATTAATATTTAGTTAAAATCGTTCTTAAATACATTTGTAATTGAAATATAGCATTTCAATCATAAAAAAAGTACTTAAGTATTTTTAATCATTAAAATATTGAATATTTGTGATTCCGTTATTGTTATTTTTTTAATAATTACTTTTGTTTCTTATATACAATTTTTGTAACATAAATTTAAGCTGGCTGAGATTCCAAACAGTTTTATAATAATAAGTTAATATTAATTCATGACATCTTATTGTAGTTTAACCCTGTTTTTTTTTTACTCTTTCGATCCTTTCTCGTTCATCATTTATTCATTAAAACACAATCGCAACAGTTTTAATAAATAATTTATTATTACTTTTCTTATATTTTAAATGTTTTTAAATGTATTACAATAATTATATTCCTTATAATTTCTATTTTCATAATTAGCGGAAATAATTATTTGGTAATTTTTATCGTGAAATTTTCTATAGGGAGCGCTATGATCGTTATCGAATTTGAAACTTCGTCTGTGTTAAATTTCGAAAGTTGAATTAGAATAATGCAAACTAAAGCAATAAAACATTGAGACCTGTGAAGATTTCACTGAAATATATATTTATTAACATCTGATTTCATCTTGGAACCATTATCAAGAAATTTAGAGAAAATGGTAATTTAGAAAATAAAGTCGCAGCTCACACTATTTGGTACAATCGCAGATGTGATTGATTGATCGAGACCTTAACAGAGAAAAAAAGTGAAAGGAACCATACCTCTAAATGTGACCCTTCGTGAGCTATGGCCCTCCAAAATCACTGTCCGCATGATCCACTAAGACCACATTTAACTATTTAACCCGTGCAACTATGCCGGCTTCAAGTAGTCCACTTGACTGTTCATGGAGTACTTGATGATATCTAGTTTTAGGGAGTGTGGCGCTCACCCCCACCTGGGTGCTGAGGTGCAAGCACTGAAGCACACGACTATATACAGAGCATTATTCGAGGCAAGCGATGGCAAGCCTTGACGACACGGAATGTAGAGAATAGGCAGTAGTATTGGTGCAGGAAAAAACTGTTGGTCAATCTTTACCTATGTGCACCATCATGATGGTGGTTGTGACTGTTTGTGCTCTTGATGGACTTGAATTGATACGTGTGTTCAAGAACTACTATGAATCAATAACTAGTGATGTTAAACAATTGGCAGCCTGCTGGCGGCTCCCCTGTGGGAGGAGTCTGTCGGGAGCACAAACAGTCAGGACCGTCACCATGACAGTGCACATAGGTAAAGATTAACCAAAATGTTTTTAGTCAGTAGAAGTTAATGCATTTATTATTTCTTATAGGCACTGATCACTATGCCTATGACAACTTTCTTGCAACAAGATGCGACCGGAATTGCCATTGGTGGGTTCATGTTTGAAGGCATATATCTTGCAAAGGGTTGTATGTTGGACTTTTCGGTACTTTTCTGTTAACTGGGCACCAGTCATTTTTACTACTATTTATAGCGAAATCGAATATGTTTAATAAACATGTTTAATATTACAATGAATATGTTTATACACATGTTTATAAGGTTTATCTGTAACAAATGTGAAATTAAACATTGTTTTTTCTAAAACTGGATTGAAAATTGAATGGCGCCCAGTTGATGGAAAAGTACTGATCTTTCTTTATTCTTTTCCAATAAGTATTATTAGAATGTCTGATTACTGTACTGTCTGTTAAACGTGCAATAAGCTTAGTGGAGCATGCAGCATGAAAGTAGGTTTTAGACTTAATTTTGAGGGCTATAGGGAATTTTGCTCAGGGTTATATTTAGAGGTATGATTTCTTTCACTATTTTCCTCCTATGGACATGCTCAATATTTCTGTTAAGGTCCCAACATCATCATTCACATCTGCAATCTTACACACTATTTTAGAAAAAATTATTGACAAAAATAACACCTTAAAAAATTAAACTAATGGAAATTAAAACTGTGAAACATTTAAGCACTTTCAATGATGATATTCATGATAATTATTATAACTAATTTTAGTACTGCTCTATTTGACTCTCTCTCACTGCGTCATATGACACTTTGTCATTTTGGGAGCAGTAATGTAGCTTATGGAATGACACAGCCAAAGTGGATTACAATTTCAAATGAGAAGTGTGAAGTGTGCAAAAGGTAAGAAATAAGGAATGTAGTGTGTTAAAAGCAAGAACAAGATTTGAATTTTTGGTTTAAAACTTTTAAAAAGGTATTGTCTTTAGAACCAAAGTTAAATAGTTATCATTCATTTTATGTTAATGTTATTGATTAACCTTTCAGACTCTTGATCTGATTATGAATACAGATAATACAGAAGCATTATATCATTATTGTAGCAATGTCTAAATGATGCATATACAGATTGAATCTGTGATCTGGCATATTTTAAATCTGCTGCCACTAGTTTGTAGATTTGTTATATCTGTTTGATTCAAAGAAAAAGATAAGCCAAAGTACCAGAAGCAAGTTACATTGTAACAATTGTTGAAGAAAGTTGTAGTAACATATGAAGATTCAAATGACCAAGACAAAACCTTTCTCACTTGTTTCTAGCCGTTTATAGACGAGTACAAACATTTTCGGCCTTCTTAATAGGCCTTTTTCAGGTACACTGTTCTTCTGGTACAGTGTACCTGAAGAAGGCTGAAAACATTCGTACTCGTCTATAAACAGCTAGAAACAAGTGAGAAAGGTTTTGTCTTGGTCATCTTAAAATAATTCTAGCTACAAATGCATACAAGATTCAAATATAGAAAATTCACTTTCTTGGACTCCTCTGTCTCTGATGTACAAATACCTGATGAACTGCACACTTTGAAAACACTGATGACCATGAAGACTTTGTTGACTTCTACAGATACAAATGTTAATTTGGTTTTCAACTTTATATTATATATTGGGTTGGGGAAAAAGAAATCCATTATTTTTATGTTTATTTCAAGACTTTATTTAACATGGTTTGGATTGTCTGACTTGGGTCAAATATGCACCATTTTGTTTATAATTTGTTGCCATTTTAAAGGTAACTTCATAATGGCTCATAGAAGCCCTGGTTTCTATTGACTAAGCAATTTTCACAAACTTCTCTTGATGCCAATTTCTTATCACTAAGGAAGTTTTGCAATGATAAAAAAAAAAAAGATGGTAATTGCTTGTTGCCAGGTTTGGACTATAAGATGGATGCATCAAAACTTCCCAACCAAGCTTCTCGAGTTTCTGGCAAGTCACTATAGACGTGTGTGATGACGTGTAATAAAACAATAAAAATTTTGTTTAGAAGCATTAATGGTTGTATTGTTTTGTGTTTTAGCTTGGTTCTACCTTTGATAGCACTGCTTGCAATATATATATATGGAATAAGCATATAAGCATATGTTTACAAAGGTGATTTCTTTAAGTCTTAAAGGTCGTTTCTGCAGTTCTACAATTAGAAAGGTCCAAAGGATTAAAGAGATTCAAACTATAGTGTGAAATTTTAATTTATGCTAATTAGAAAGCTTGATTCAATAATCATGTTTACATATATTTTTATTTTATATTTGTTTAAATCTTCTACTTTGTTTAAATGGTTTTAATATTTTGTTAATAAATAAGTCATAATAACTGATTTTTATTTTTTAGAGTAATGAATCATGGTTAACTTCTTCATTTGATAATGATGACTTTCATATTGAATCTGAAAAACCTACAGTTAACAGGAAAAGAAAATTACAGCAAAAATCCACATGTGATAGAAATAAATTATTTCAGAAAGGAACATTTGTAAAGAATGAAATTAAATCATGGGTTGAAAAATATGCTCCCACTTCAAAGGTAATGAAAAATTTTTAATACATTAACATTTTATAAATTGTTAAAAATAAATTTTTTTTAATTCAAATAATTAAAAATTACATAAAGTGATCAAAGTTTATTTAATCTTCTCAAGGCTTCTTACCTGTAATCTGTGAAATTATTTTATTTGACTGTTCAGCTATTCAACATAAAATTTTTAAAGAAAATTAATTTTTATTTGTTTATACCATTAAATGTGAAACAAAAATTGATTAAATAGATGAAACTTGACATTCGGGCCATGGCTGTCTGCTCTCTTTTAAATAAAATCATGAAAGAACTTGACAATATTTAATGTTAAATTTACTCTGCAATCTTCCCTGTACTTATCATCCAAAAATTGCCAGATCCAGACTGGGTCTTCTGATATTTAAAGATTACATCAAATACTTCGACCATTTGCACTTCCATAAATATTTTAATGGAAATGTAGAGTCGGATTGGCTACAATTAAGAATTTCTGAATGAAACTTTCATAATACATCATGCGTGTTTACTCCCTTTTATAGACTAAGAATTTCTCAAAGATCATACTTTTATTACATCTCTCATAATATGATCGATTTTGAAAATTTACCACATGAAGATTTTAGTTGTTTTAAATGTGTTTGTAAATGAATACTTTAATTCTTAGTGTTTAATATTCTTGTCCTATTGTTATCTCATCAATACTTTTTTTATGTTTTTTTAATTTTCGATTTACACTTGTATTTTTATATATTACATTTTATGCATCTGGGTTATACTGTTAATCAGAGGTGGAAATCTTTTGTTATTTACATGACATTTCCATTTGTAAAAATTAAAATGAAATAAAACATCAACAACAAAATACGGTCACTTCTCCATAGTCACAGCCTTAAAATTTTTTTGAAGAATTTTACATTTAATAACTGTATAAAAATGAAATGATTCTGATTATGAGGGAATAACATTTTTAGATGAAAATTGAATTATACTTTAGTTTAAGATGGCTTATATAAAAAATTAATTTGATTTACAATTTGAAAATTTCAAAATAACTTTTAAGTGGTTTTCAAAAACATTTTAATTTTCAATTGATTTGATTTTAATTAGTATTGATATTTAATTTAATTTTAGTTTTGGTGTAAAGACCAGAGTTCTAATTATTTTATTAATTTTAGTTTTAATTTTTATAATTATTTTAAATTATTATTTATTATTTTTATTTATTTAATTTTGCCTGTACTTTTTGAACCTGTACAATTATTTGAAGAAATTACATTTCTTCAATTAATTGCGACACTGTTTTCTTTTGCGCATAATTATAGAAATTGTTTGTGTTGTTTCACACAAAATATAATCAAATTTTAATTTATTTTAATTTTTTTAGTAATTTCATTAATTTTTGTTTTATAAATTTGCTTGCTTTTTAAAAAATTTTTTAAATTTTAAGTGAGGTAACATTAATTGAGTCATTGGGCTACCTAGTTTAAATGAATTGATTCCATTGCAAATTAGTTTAATATGAAAAGAATAGGCAAACACTATAAACTATTGTATTTTTTTATCTTATAAGATGGACTTTTTTGTACCTAAAATTTATCTGAAAATTAGAATATGTCCTATAAGCCAAGTGCATCTTATACTGTAAAGAATATTTTTGTCCCAAATAATCAGTTTTAAAAATTCAATGCACTCAACACAGTGTTGCCTTTTATAAGGTATAAAAAATACAATAGTTAAAGTTAAAAAATAATAAATATATTAAATAATTTTTCTTAATTGATTAATATTTTCCACAACTAACTAGTCAAATTTCTAAACAATTTTTCCTGACAGTGGGTACCTTGATAATGTCTAGTAATGTCTTACTAGACCAATATAGAATAAAACATTTGTATAAAATAATTGCTTTAAAAATAATTCATCTTAACTAGACTACAATTAAAGTTAATTTTTAAATTTATGTTTTATTTTAGGAGATTATAGTTGGAGATATATTGTTAAATGCAATTAATCTATTTATTGTAATTTAAATTTTGATATTTAAATAATGATTTATTGCCTCAAATAAATGAATGTTTGTTTATACATTATTACATTATTTATTGTTTATTCAGTAATCAAGTAATAATTAGTAAATTTTAAACAAATTATTGTTGAAAAATAATAATGTAATATACCATATTACTTACTTTTTATTAAAAGAAATGGCCATGTCATAATGACAAATAATGCCTCTTCTCCCAGTAACAAATATTAACAAATATCACATATTTAAAAGAATTAGAAAAAAATTTATTTTTTTTCTAATTCTTTTAAATATTATTAACTATAAATTTATTTAACTAAAAAAAAAATTTTTTTAAGTTATATTATCAAAAATAAAAATTATATACAAACATACTATAACATAAATATAACAACAAAGAAACAATATCTTTTGCCATTTCTATATTTTTAAAATCCAATTGATTATCAGAAAATTATTGAAATTATATATCAATAACTTGGTAGAAAATTTGTTGATGATAAAATCACTTAGCTATTATTATTTAAATAAAATGATCGACTATTTATTGTGACATTGTCATAATGCTGGGCTTTAATTTTTAATCATGTTTTTAATTTATTTCATTTTAAAATATATGCTCTCCACCTCAAATTAGTAGTATCTTGCCCCTGTACATCATACTTTTCCTGCTAGCAATAGAGTAGTATCGGTCATCTATCTAACTCCTTTTAGGGGAAAATTTTCAGATTGAAATAATGTGACTTCTGGTTTGGATTGGAAGTATATTGGATATAGTTAATTGAGGTCTCATGCCCCTAAATTTTCCATATAACTCCATTTTCAAGATTAAGGAAGGACAGACAGACAAATAGATAAGAATAGTAATTTATAGGTGTACAATATTTTTAAAATTGCAGCCCAATTATTAAAAATTACTTTAAAGCACACTATTCAAATAATTGTTTATAATTATGAATGAAAGTTTTAAGGGTATTTTTTCATATTACATGGGTTAACATCCAATTGATTATCAGAATATTATTGAAATTTTCTTATAATCAATTGGATATAAAAAATTATTTTTATATCCAATTGATATTTCAAAAATTGAGACTACATACTTATTAATGCTTGAAACTTTAGTGAATTGATGATGATTTATTATTTTTAAAGGATACTCTTGCTGTAAATAAAAAGAAGGTTGCACAGGTTGAAGAATGGTTGAAAAATTATTTTGATCAAATTTTGAATAAAAATGTAAGTAAAAAATCTCTATGTAAGCTGAAACAAATTTAACTTGAACAACACCTTAAATACTCTTTTCAGCATGACAATATTTGCTGCATAAATATTGTTTTAATGGAAAAATTTTTATATTTTAAAATAATATTTGTTTATCTTGACAGATTTCACCAATCTTATTACTCACAGGACCAGCTGGAGCTGGGAAAACTGCTACAATGAAAGTTCTTGCCAAAGAAATGCAACTTGATTTAGTAGAATGGTCTCATATACCTCATTCTTCATCTCAAACTTTGTTAGATTTTGGTATAGTAAATATTTCTGATAATATATTGAATTTGGTTATAAAGAAAACAATGAATTAACACAAATGAATCATGAAATTAAGAAGTACAACACATCCCAACAAAAAATTTATTTTTACCACTAACATTGAAACTTCAAATTTTTTTGTTATGCAACGGTCAAAAGATATAGACACATCTTTGTATAATGACACACAACAGAATAGCACTTGTATCTGTGAAAATCATTCTAACTTGGTTTTGTTTCTTTATTTACACTATTTTGTACATTAGCATATATATCAGAATAGGAATCCACATTTTTACAATTGATTGAAACATTCAGGACCATGTTTCAATCCTATGGGATAACAAAAGTCTTGCACTTTTTAGTAATATAAGCAATATATAGCAAGTAATGTAAGCAAAAAGTCACAAAAGTGACTTTTTGCTTACATTACCTTAAACAGGAAAAAAATCAATCTTAGTTTGTTTTGTTTTTTCTTATATTTGTTACATGTTTAAAATATAAGTAGCTATATAACTCTACAGATTCTGTTTTAAACTAAAAATTTATATTTTTATGCATGAATAAATCTAGTTAGAAAATATTATATAAACAAAATTAATACTTATAGAAGGGAATCCTAAGAAATATTTACTAAGAAGTTTTGTTTAGTCATTGAATTAATTATATGTTAGCATTGTACGTGAGGTTTTATATTTTTAGATTCTTTTATAACACTCCAGGGAATTTCCAAGACGATAAATTTTTATATACTATTAATATTAATATCAAAATTTACAATGCTAATAAGCTATAATCGGTTAGGAAAATACTAACTTCTACATAAGTTTCAATAGAATTTAAACCTTAGAATTCTTTAAATATTTAAATTAAGTAGCTTTTCGAATATTTTAAATAGTTTATTGAATAAAATATATGAATATTCTTTCTAAATATACAAATTTATTTAAAGAACCCTGCGTATAAAATAATAAGGGGGTTCGTTTCGTACACTTAACCTCAATTCGACGCAATTCCTTCAGTTTACAATGAAAAAGTTTAAAAACGACGTCAATTTGACGTAAAAGTGTGCACGTTCTGGACGAAACAACAAGACTAACTCGTAAGATTAAAGTTTGTGAATCAGCAATTCTATATTAGCATATTATTGTCATTTAGTGGCATTTATACCGAAATTTTCAGCATTATTCGAAGACAATACCCAACGAGATTAACATTTTATTAATAAAATTAATACAATATTTATTGTCTCTCGTTACGGATCAATGAGTTCTAAATCAATATAAATGTATATCAAGTAACTAAATTCGAAGAAAAATTGCCTTTTTAAATTTACATTTTCAGCACTTAAAAACAACGAAAAATTCTTTAAAAATTCAAGATTTTTAATCATTTTGTGAATTTTTTTACACGAAGAGTATACAAAAAAATTTAATATTTTCGTATAAACAACACGCTGTGAATTAAATTTTTATTCTAACATCAAAACTTTTCTAGAATTTCTTTTTAATTTCTTGACAAATTTTATTTAAAATAATGCAAAAATTAATAATATTTAGCAATTATTTAACTAATGAAGAATAAAATATTCTAATTTGATGACGTCGTGATCATCGCCTTTGACGTCATTGAAAGATGGAGGAAAAGAGAAAGAGAAGTTTAATCGAATTAATAGAAATAACCGAGTAAATTAAAAATAAATAATTTAATTTTAAATGTCGGATTTTTTAAAACATTACATTAATTTTAAAACCTGTAATTCTTTTGTGTATGAAAGATTTCACTGGATTAAAAGACAATATAAAAACAATTGAATACCTTGGGGCAAGAACATGTAGACGTGTAAAGAAAATGGCCGCCGTTTAGAGGTTCAACTGCACTTCCAATAAATGGCTGCCTCGCAATTACGTTTGCGAATTACATAATAATCGAAATATTTGTTTTTATTTAGTTATTTATTTATTTGACTCATCTCCTCTATGGGAAATAAGAGGACCTTAAAAAATTTGTGGATTCTGCCAGGCTCACAATGGTGATGAAGAACGGAGGAACAGACTATCCCGAAAAACTCCTTAGTTTGCTGCTATCCTGGATTCAATCCCGGATTCCCTAGAGAGAGCGGCAAAATTCTACTAGAAAGAAATTTATTCAAGAAAAATTCCTCCGAATTTAAATATATTTTTTAAACGCTAAAAGATGAAATACGTGAAATGAATATTTATTAGCAACATCTTAAGAAATGTCACATTAACTATATAACTTAATTTTTGTATTCTAAAATTTATGTTTTTCCTATATCGATAATTCTTATATATTCTCTAAGCGTATTTAACCACTTATGAAATTATTACAGTCGAGCCTCCAATAGCGGCCATTTCTTTTATGTTCCCCTTAGTGGCCGTCGTTTAGAGGTTTGACTATATTACAGTATATTGTAATAAGATATTTGTGAAAGTTTATATGATTAAATAATGATTTTATTTTTTAAAATAAAAGTAAGAAAATATAAAAAATAATACTTTAAACAATAATTTACATAAATTTTTAATATTTGAATATTTATTCAATAAAAATACTTTATGCTAATTTCGAAAAAAAAATAATCAAATTTTCATTTGATTTAATCGGAAATTTCTTGATTTTTCTGTAAATATTCTTTTTTAAAAAAATAATTTATGCTTCTTGTTATTATCAGATTATGCTAATTAATGTAAATACGAAGTTTCTTGCATCAAAACAGCAAGAATAATGTAAAGTATGAATTTCGAACACGTTGACATTCATTGATTAGTAATCAAGACAGAATAAAAAGTAAACGAAGAAGATCATTTTCCCTTTTTATTTATAAAAATTGTGTGGGTGACAATATTTATAGATTAATAATTATTATTAAATTAATAGAAGATTTCAGAAAAGAGACAATAAATATCTTCTAAACGTAAGTAATTAGATAGAATCACCAATAGTTGCAGTACGTTTCGAGATATTTGAGCAGCAATAACACAAAAGTAATTATAGGAAAACAAGAAGAAACTTAAAAGAGTTTGGCGATTTTAAGAGAATTTGATCCGACTTTTAACAAGTTTCTCCTTATTTTGTTCTTCAAACGAGTGCAACAGAATAATTCATTCTTTTTTTATATCCTTTGTTTTTTAATCGTGGGCAATAAAATATAAACGACTAACGGATTTCTTTCGTTTTTCGGGGTTTTTAGTGCTCCTTTCGGCTTTATGACCCCAATAAAACGATATATAGACCTTTCCCACTTCGTGGTTCAAGGATCAAACTTATCTATATATACAAACTTTATTGCTACACGTGTCTTTATTTGTACTTGTAGGCAAGCTGCGGCGTGTCTATATATACAGGCTATATATATATATATATAACTTCTTGCATAGGTTTGCATTTTGTATGCACTTTTTGTTAAAAAAATACCTCTTTTCCACTTCATATGCGTGTAGTGTGTATAGCCAAACCCCGAACAATGGTCACTGACGGAAACGTTAAAAATGTCCGTTGTTTGGAGGGGTATTTTGTATGCATTTTTGTTCAGAAATGTTCGTGGCCGGTGTTTAAAGGTGATTGTCGTCGGAGGTTCGACTCTATATACATTATTAAAATGTATACAGTGATAAGGCTGTAAAGAGCATTTTCTATATTTAGTATAAGGTATAAAGCGTTCAGTTGTGAGACATTTCTTGTCTTGTTATGTCTGTATTAAATCTTGCTAGCAGCATTTATACCCGAATAACGAAAGTAGAAAGATAATCGTGTTACGGAGTGAGGAAAATACTTCATCGATCACATAATGCGCATACCATGATTTACCCTTCAGTCATTTCCAATCGCAACTTCTCAATACTTTTCTAACAATAAACTTTCCTGTTAAGATACTTACATAGGCAATAAATTCATCTTTAAAGCAATATTTTCATTTAAAGTGAATATTTAATTCAATATTTTATAAATTATTTACCTCAAAAGAAGTGTTTTTATTCGCTTGAAAGAATTCATAGTACAGTAGCCCCTCGTTAAATCGCTCATTTGCTCTATCACCCTACACGAGGGGTACTGTATATAAGAGAAATTAATTTTTTTTAACTAAAATTTTAATATTTTATATTATTCTATAGATTTAAATTCTNATTTTTCTTTAAATTATCTTCAAAATTAAAATATTCATAATAAAACTTTAAGAAATAAAGCATTTTTGCTTTTATATTTTTTCTATATTTTTAGACCAAAAATGGATAATCTGACAGAAAAGGATATATTTGAAGACAACATAACAGAAGACAATGATTATAATTGTGCTGTAACTTTATCAGAAAATATAAATGATGATGCAGAAGAGAATATAATCATTGAAGATGATTACAGTTAACAATAAAAAAATATTTGTAAATATCTTCAAAATTAAAATATTCATAATAAACTAAGAAATAAAGCATTTTTTTCTATATTTTTAGACTAAAAATGGATAATCTGGCAGAAAAGGATATATTTGAAGACAACATAACAGAAGGCAATAATTATAATTGTGTTGTAACTCTATCAGAAAATATAAATGATGACGCAGAAGAGAAAATAATCATTGATGATGATGACAGTTAACCACAAAAAAATATTTGTAAATATGTACAGGTGAATTTATTATAAAAAGAATTTATAATAAACAAGAATTTATTAAATTTGAAAATATTATTCAATTAAATTTATTATACTCTGTATTACAGTATTGCAACTTTAATATGGAAACATTTAAAATTAAATTATGATCAGAAAATTCCAATTCTTAAAAACTATAAATTTTTATACAAAAATATTTATTTAATTNAATAATTCTTGTTGAGGTTTTCTCTCTTTTTTAAATTTTTAAAATTTTTAACTATTTTATATTTCACACTTCATTTCATTTTTTATTTAGGAATATCCAAATATTTTTCTCAAAGAACCATTACAGTTTCATAACATAATTCAGTAAGAAAATTATCAAGTTGTTAAAATTTATAAAAATACCATTTTAATACTTATCTTGTGTAAAACTGATTCTTTAGTTTTTTATTTAATCAAGGAAATATCACAGATTGGGAAGGTGTCCTTTAATTTTTATAGTTACTGATAATTCTAGAGGACAATCATTAGAACAACTTCTCTTTTCAAAGAATATTATTGAATTATTGAAAATATCAGTTATTAGGTGAGTGTATCTTGGTTTTTTAACTTGTGCTGTATAATAATTAAAAGTTTTAAAATATTATTTTTTTTATTAGTTTTAATCCTATTGCACCATCATTAGTTGCAAAAGCTTTACGAAGAATTATACAAGAAGCAGGTGTAAGGATTTTTTTTTATTTTTGTACTGTAAGATAATTTATCTATGTTAAATTTTGCGATACTCTTTAGGTAAACTGTAAAAATGATGCAGAAACAAAACTACTAACAGAAAAACTTGCAGAAAGTTGTGCAGGTGATATTAGAAATGCGATTAATACTTTACAATTTAACTATGATTCACGTAAGTAATTTTTTTACTAAAGAAAATAGTAGCAAATATAAATAGGTACAATAACATATATGAATAAACATTTCAAACATATTTTTTTTTTTTTTAATTTACCATTACTTTACATTTCTTAATTTATCATTCATTGCTTATCATATTTATAATATGACTAGCTGCAAGTACCTGCTTCGCTGGGTTTTTATTTGTTTGTACATTTATATGTAATATAGTTTTTTTTTTTTTTTACATAAAAGACTGTTTAACTTCCTCTATATAATCTTTCTCTGATTTGATGTGTTTCCCTATAATTTTCAAGTTGCTCTTCTGTTTGATTATTTCTGTTTCGATATGATTCGAGACCGCAAAAATTCTTTCTTACACTTTGGCATTGTTTTTTATATTTTTACTTTTCACTTTCTACCTTTTTCTGTTATTCATACACTTTTACTAATGAAAAATCAACTGAAGCATGTGCATCACATGTCTCCAAAAGCCATCCCCACTACTCACACGTAATGGTCCTCGACTATTTCAAAGCATTTTCGACTATTTGAAAACATTTAAGATTAAGATTACATTATAGCCAATCTTACCCATTTTCACAGAATACAAGAATTTGGTCCCCTGTTTCCAGACTAATTAGAGAGTTCTTATATGAGTCTAAAAATATGTTTGATTTCTCGCAAAAATGCAAAATACCGCATCTCTGCCTGTAAATCTTGCACACCGCTTTCTGTTAACACTTCCATTATTGACACTTCCATTGTTACACATTTTCGAAGTCAATCACTTTCAATCCCATATCTTCCACATCCTTATAGCTATCGAGACGAAACCACCATAGTGCACGATGGGAAACTTGGGGCCACTACCACACACAAACAACATTCGTGTGCAATGTGTAGTTTTGGCTGCAGAGTGAAATATAGGGACAAACACGTCCATTTTTATATATGAATGTTATAAATTCAAATAGGTCTATTATTGAAGAATAAAATGAAAGACATATTATGACAACATGGACTTTGTCATTGCTTATGTTTTTTATGCAACAGGAAAGATAGTTCATCTTAAAGTCGAACAGATATTTCATCTTTACTGTAAGACTTCTTTTAAGCTATTTAAAAAAACAAATAGAAAGATTATATATTGAAATAAATTAGCTAGTAACAGAATAAAATTAAGTATTATATATAGTAGGAAAAAAACATCAGAAAAACTATTCATTTAATAGTTTTTTTCTGTTACATTAAAATGAAAACATTTTACTCAAATTTTAATTTCATGATAGTTCATATTAAAGCCAAAAGATTACCAGATTATATCAGACTATATTCATGCTACTAGTAATAATTAAATGTTAAGTAATTTGGTCTAGAGGTAGATGTAATAGTTTTGTTTTTTCATAACTTTTTCCACTTTCTCAATTGTTTGCATTCAATATCTACAGTAGAAATTGTTGAGATTACTTCATCCATAAAAACTTATAAAAATTTGTTTATTTTTTAAATTAAAGTAAAATTTTGCTAAAAGTAAAAACCTGCACTAAACCATAAAGATTGCATCATTCATGATAAATATGAGATCACTTTTCATTGGCTGATAGTTTACTATATTAATTGTTTCTAGTGATCACATCTTCTATTGGTATGAAAAAGCCAGACAAATGAAGTGTACTGTTATCAACAAAATGGAAAGTTTTTGACAGTTAACACAATGTTAAAACATCTAGAATTGTTGATTTGAATGTTAATGGTTTGTCCTCTCAAGAAACAGTGCAGAGAGAACATCATTCACCAATCATGCATTTGTTACAAAGGAGACAAGAGCATTGAAAGAAAAGCTGTATCAGAGATAAACATGTGCATACGATATGCAGAATAGAATACTGAAGTGTCTTAGCCTATGAAAACATTTTCTTAGTTCTTCCAAACTGAAAGTAAAGTGGAAAGAGCAGACAGGTGACGAAACAAGTGCATGAACTGTGTGATATCTATGCTACGTGGGTTTAAAAGCCTCATTTCCATATAAGAAGCCATCACTGACAAGTAAAATGCACAGATAATAGCATTGACATGTGGAAGTTTGGCTATGTTTCTAGATAGATCCAAATTTAACTTGCAGATCTGATGGCAAACTTTATGTTAGACATACAAAGATGAGGCCTACTGCTTGGTACAGATAGTTAAATTTCTAGAGAGTTAAATGGTATGGGAATGCATATCCAGTAAAGTTGTTGGCAGACTACATTTTATCAATGGATCTGTGAATGCAGAGTGCTAGAAAAATCATCTTACCTACCAAGTAATTCCAACAATCAAGGAACAATTTTATGGTATAAAATTGTACATTTTCCAGGACACCTTTGCATCATGTCACCACACTAATATGATGAATAAAGCATAATGTATCGTTTCTTAGCATTATCACTTAAACAGTTTTCACCAACACATAAATAGTTGCTTACATAAAAATGTGACCACGGTGTCGGTACCTCCTTGGCACCTTGTCAGAACTGACACCACTGTGTCCGCCGGACGTGGAAATCTCGATGGCCGTTATGTTATTTCTCATGTTGCACTTGTGGGCTTCCGGACTCAGAATAGAGGTGAATGGGAACGACCAGAAGAAGTACACTCCACAAATTAACATTTAACATTTAACAAATATACCCATTTATTGATAGATATTATTTACAAGTTCCACGAGATATTGTTTACAAGTTTACGATCATTCCAGAAGCTTAGCACAATGGCTGAAAAGTATTTTAGACACTTAGTACAATTGATAAAAGGAGAGGGACAGAGAGAGATAAACCTAATGTGACCATGACCAAGAGAGAGAGCTCACAATAAGTTCACGAAACTGCTTGTATTTTATGGGCACAAAAATTGCAGAGAAGAGCCCTGAAAATAAATAAACTACAGGAGAGTTTATTATCAACAGCTGCAAATTATGAAGTATTTGAAGAAACTCATCTTGTGTTATATCACATGTTATTTCTCTTAAGATTGGAAGATTTTCTTTTATAGAATAGTTGTTAACTGTCATCCTGTTTATATAAAAATAGAAACTGCAAACATGGAAATTCAGACATTCGTGAAATCTTTAAAAACAGCAAAAACAATTTAATTACAAGTGTTTTCAGTCATTTCTAAAGACTATCTCCAAGTAGAATTAAAAATTAAAATAATAGAATATTTTAATTTTATAAAATAATGTTGATTGTAACATTAGTGACTGAAACTGACAAGCAGATATTCTAGAAAGAAACAAAATATGAGAAATGAATTTTGTCATAGATAATGCCATAATCAATGTAATTATAAATACTGCTGATATTTACTTCTTTACCTGAAAGCAGTACTTATATATCAATTCAATACTTTTGTGTATTAACACTGCATTCATATTACTGCCTATTATGAAAAACCTGTAATTGTTACTTGGCATTGTTATCATATCAATCAACTACAAATTTTGTCATATGTTCTTAGCATGTAGCAGACTATGGCATGGCCAATCATAAAAGGGGTTGAAAGCTAAAGTTGATTTTTGTTTATATCTCACGTGAAATAGGAGTGAATAGTCTAAATATTAATTCAAATAATTAATTATGAAATAAATAAATAAAAATATCATTTAAATAGTTTGAAAAATGTTTTCTCATGTTGTAATGAATAGCTGCTTGCCAGTTTTAGTCACTAATGTTACAATCAATGTTACTTTGATTTATTTTGCAGCTTACTATAGTGGAAACAGTTTTTGGCTCATATTTGTTTTATATCAAAGCCAAAATATCAAATTTAAATACTACTATGCATTTGAGAAAGAAAATGACCATCTCAAGTAAAGAATAAATTTATTATTCAACCAAATATCCAGATGTTTGTACTTCTATAATTCAATGAGAGAGGGTTTTGATTATACGAATTTGTTTACACATAGAATGAAGTAAGGTTGAATGTAGAGTTAATTTTATGAAGAAAGATAGTTTCTCCATTTGTCTGTCTGAATTGATGATCTGAAAACAATAAAGAATTAACTTTTTTCTCATTTATAAAGTAAAAACATAGAAATTTAGTTAAGTTTTAAATCATGTTTAACACAAAATTAAAATTTACTAATTTTTTTGAACAGAAATGACATTGTTTCTAAAATATTGCAAGTAGTTTTTCATCTGCTTTGTTACTTAAAATATTTATTAAACCTACAGAAATTTTAATTATATTATCATTAAATTGAAATTACCATTAATAAGTAAATGACTGAATATTGTCATTACATTTTCTTGAAAATATTTTCATTATAAGCATTCACAGAATCTACAGATTGAGACTGACAGTAATACTGTACTGAAATAAAGAAACACTCAGAATTTCATATACTTTCTGTTTAATTTTTATCATTTTATAAGTTTTTATATAAAAAGCTTTTTTCCTAACAAAACCATTATATTATTGAAGTCAAGAATTAGTTTTTTTTGTCTAGATTTCTATATGAGAACATTGAGAGCATGAATAGTGTTGAAACATCTTATTTAGGATATTTTATTTTTCAGTAATTTAATGATAAAATATGCTTAATACAATATAAATGTATTATAATTTCAAAAAATATATGTTAATAATTTTCTCAAATATAATTAAAATATTGCATATGGAATTCGTTTACTAGAAAAATAAATTTTAATTTTTTTAAATTTAGGAATCCAACATTTAAAAACTAATAATAAACAAAAAGACAGAACTAATGAAAACAAAATGAACTCTGCACTTTGTGGACGTGATTCATCTTTATTTTTGTTTCACTCATTAGGAAAAGTTCTCTATTGCAAACGTAAGTGAAGTTAAGCATTTCATTTTATAAGAAAATTATTTATACTTATAATTATATAAATCAAAACTTACAGGTGATGTTTTGAAAATGACAGAATTATTTGCAATAAATAAGCATTTAGAAAGGCCACCATTACAAGAAAATCCTGAAGTAAGAACAAAATAAAAATTATTCATTTAACTTGTTTGAATTTAATAAATATCATGACATCTATTTCATTATGTCAGGTTTTAAATATATATAGCAATACATAATTTAGTATCTAATTGATTTTTCACAGATTTTTTTGTGTTTAAAAGATCTAATTAGGAAGCTAATAATTATTTTACACACAAAATTTTTTGTGTGCAAACAATAAACTGTTGAAAGTACTACTATGAATTGTAAAAATCTTGAGACATTTGAGACTGCAATTAAAGTTAATTAATGCCAATAGACAGGGTTTTATTTTATTTATGATTTGTTTTGATATTAAGTGCCTTACACATAGTTTGCTAAATTTTACTTTTGTTGGATTCATAAATCTAAATTTATTGATCATAATTATTCATTTGCAGTTAGATAATTTTTATATAATTTTCTTGTATTAATTTCCTGTTGAAAAGTATGCAGAGCATCAAATTAAAGAAATTTCTTTCCATATGTAAATTAAGTATGCAATTAATAATTGGCTACAGTTCAGTATTGTGACATTGTTACAATGATGACAGATAAGTAACAGCTTTAAGAATTCCAGTAAATGGTTATTAATGAGGGAAAAAAACATTTATTTTACTATGAGAGATTTGTCTTTATAATTCAAAACTACGAACTCATGTTTTATGTTGAATATTTTTTTAAAAATATTTAAAAACAAAGGATTAGGTTTATAATTATAATCCTGTTTTAATATACTATTCTCATAATAATTATGGCTTTTTAGAGCTTATAAATATTGAACAACTTTCAAAATTAGTAAAATATTATTCTACTATTTTGTGTATGTAAGTTTCTACATATGTATGTATTATTTCTTAACATGTTTAAAAAAATTTTCATAATTCTGAACCAGGTTTCTATATTTTTTTATGCTAATATTTGTAAATCTTTTCCATAGTTCGAATGATTATACTTTAATATTAAATTTGTAAATATTTAATGTATTCATATAATAAATATGAATTCTTAATAGTTTATAACTTAAATATTGATATTATTTTACTTCATAATTCTCAATATCATAGTACATGAAAAAGTATTTATTTTTATTACTAAGTTATTTCATAAAATCAAATTTTTATAGGATATATTTGAAAAAACAACCATATCAAGTTCTGCATTTGGTCTATTTTTACATCAGAATTATTTAGATTTTATGGGAAAAATTGAAACTGTTGTAAATTGTTGTTCGTATTTTAGCGATAGTGACATTATTAGTTCCGAATGGAATGTGAGTATAATTTTAATATTCATAATCAAATATGTAGCGTTTTTAAATTATAAAATAATAAATTTTCTTTTGTTTCCTTTTAAATAAGTGGAGTCTAACAATAATTGTCAATGTTGGATCATGTTTTATTATTTAGGAACAAAGTACTTTAGATAAATATACTGCTTCCCTCACATCCAGAGCACTTATGTTTTATTTATACTCAGAGGCTGTTTCTAGTCATAAGTGGAGACCATTTCATAAACCTCAATGGTATTCTTCATTTAAAACAGTATGATCAATTTTTTTTATGATTATAACTATTTTTAAAAAATGTTTGTTTAATTAATTATTTATTAATTATATAGCATAAAGAATATTCTAATGAATTAAAGTATATATTTAAAAGTAAGAACTTTTTCTATTTAGTTTAATTTTGTTTTTTCACAGTTTACAGTATTTATAAATTTCAATATATAATTTATTTAGATTGGAGAACAAACACAAGGGTGCTACAAACTGATATTTTACCTTATGTAGTAAAGATTCCATATTTTGAATATTCTAAAGGTTTGAGCATACTTGAAGTTAAATAAATAAATGATAATTTACATAAAGAAAACTAATTTTTAATTAAACTTTTTTGAAAGATTTTATCTGTATAGTGATATTGATATTTATCCACATCAAAAATATACATTACAGTGAGTCAAAAGTCTCAAATATAGATAATGGACAATTTATTTTGTAATCACTTGTAAATTATAAAATGTGACTTAAGCTGGTGCTAGTTAATTGAATACACATTTAGTTATGTTCCTGTCAAACCAAATTAACATACAAAGGGTAACCAAATGTCCTCTTTTTCCCAATCTTGTTCTTCATTTTAGCCATGTGTCCAGGAAGAATTTTCAAATTATCATAAATGTCCATTAAGAACTTCTAAGTTTTGTGCACTTATAAATAAAATTTATAATAAATGTATTGATTTACAGTGTAAATTACACCAGTATTTGCTAGCACTTAGTTTCATTTAATGAGGAAAAATATATACTGTATTGTACATTTTTTCCACATCTTGCCTTTTGAAGTGAAATGTTCACTTTTTCATTTGTGGCCATCTAGTTACTATTCAAACATGCACATCATAAATAGTCCATGTCTTAAATGAAAACTTTTGAACCATCCTGTATGCTAAAAGTATGATCTTGAGATTTGTATGTTTGGATTTTAAGTTTTTTGTATAATATAGTTTTGATATTTTATTATTAAATTTTTCTAAAATGGTATCTGTTTGATTTTTTCAATGTTTTACTTTATATATTTAGATTATAAATACATTTATAAAATATATATTTCAAATAAATTGCTGTAGAATTTTTATTAATTAATTATTTTATTTATTAATAATAGTAATAAATAACATTTCTAAAGTAGTGTTAGTTGAAATCTTTAAAATAATAATTTGAAATTGTATATTCAACATATTATTTCTATTCCTTAATTAGGTCAGAAAGAGTTTGTAAGGAAAGCGATTAAATTTAATTATCCTAAATATAATACGAGGTAAGTACATTTTATTTATAAATATTAACTTGATATAAAATAATAATCAGTTATTCTTTATTATGTCAAATAAGAATTTAAATTTAAATTTTTCTTTAAATTATCTTCAAAATTAAAATATTCATAATAAAACTTTAAGAAATAAAGCATTTTTGCTTTTATATTTTTTCTATATTTTTAGACCAAAAATGGATAATCTGACAGAAAAGGATATATTTGAAGACAACATAACAGAAGACAATGATTATAATTGTGCTGTAACTTTATCAGAAAATATAAATGATGATGCAGAAGAGAATATAATCATTGAAGATGATTACAGTTAACAATAAAAAAATATTTGTAAATATGTACAGGTGAATTTATTATAAAAAGAATTTACAATAAACAAGAATTTATTAAATTTGAAAATATTATTCAATTAAATTTATTATACTCTGTATTACAGTATTGCAACTTTAATATGGAAACATTTAAAATTAAATTATGATCAGAAAATTCCAATTCTTAAAAACTATAAATTTTTATACAAAAATATTTATTTAATTTTTAATTTGGCCTTTATTCCATGACTGAATTTTGCAATTTGAAATGTTCCTATGACTAATGAATAGGCTTATTACACACTCAGCCTATTTAATTAACTTAATCAACATGCATTGCAGCCTTACTGGCCCTTATCAATTGGATGACATTCAAGACAACAGAATATATGGTGACAATTGCCAACATTACAGTATACATTAATAGTACAATTATTACATCTTATTAATAAGATTTTAAATTATCACTAGGACAGTAACACAACAGTACTCAACAAATCCAGTAAAAACTTTGTCAATACAGTAATACCTCGACTTACGCTACCCCAACTTATGCAAACCCAGAGTTACGTGATTTTCAAATCTCGTCGATTTGTCTTTTGTTTGAGCACCAAGCAACTCTCGATTACTCACTCCCCCCCACACCATTGTTCGGCTTACATGTTCGGACATGTAGCACGGAATCGACACATAGCTACAATTTATTTTGTGTTATTTATTTCTGTGTTTGTTATATCTACGAAGCCTTCAGAGACTCTAAATGGTGATTTCTTGTAACCGTGAACGAATCAAAAGACGAGATAAGATTAACGAGAACATTTATTAGCTTACATACA